AGGCATTACGTAAGGGCTTCCCTGGTGGCTCAGTGGTAAAGAATCCACCTGCCAATGCAGGAGACACGGGTTCAATCCCTGATCTGGGCAGATTCCACATGCCTCAGAGCAACTAAGCCTGAGCATCACAGCGATTGAGCCTGTGCTCTAACCACAAATACTGAAGCCCGTGAGCCCTAGAGCCCAAGCTCTTGAACAAGCCACTGCAATGAGAAGCCTTCACGTGGCAACTAGGGAGCAGCCCCCACCTGCTGCAACTAGAGAAAAGCCTGTGCAGCAAAAATGACCCAGCACAGCCAAAAATAATTAACAAATAAAAAGAGGCCTTCTCTAAATTACACCACTCAGCTGCCTGTCGCAGGCAGACAACACCTTGCTGTTTTATCTCCACTGATGTCTAACTGCTCCGGCCATTTCTGGTTATTTTCAGTTATTTCCAGAAATCTGCCCACTCTCCTAGTCAGGATAGACTCTTCTGGGCCAACCAGCCGAGCGAAGGCTCAGATGGTACAAGGTTCACAGTCAAAAATCGATCAACAAAAGCTTGTCCTTCTCTCCCTCCCCCAGGCTGGTCGCTGGCGAATATGGGGGTCCTGGAGGACCTGCCTGGAGGCAGGTCTGGACAATGGGCGTCGGGGAGATCAGTCTGAAGACAGAAGCAGAGGCAATGCCATCCGCCAAATGATGCTCGTTTTAGGAGCCAGGTTTCCTCTGGGCAGAGCAGACACCCTAGGGGAACGTCTGCCTCTTGCAGATGGAAGGCAGGGTTATCCGACCTGCGGCAAATTGGTGCCTGTGAACGTCAAATATAACCTGATGCCAGCGCAGCACCTGGATTCTGGAGCAGAAATGACACCTCCTGGGTGCCTGTTATTTACTTTGGGTGCCTTAGGAGACCCTAGAAGACAGGGTCTTCACCTTTTATCAGTGAGTTTCAGAGGAGTGAGATGGCCTGCCCGCCGCATGCAGCAGAAAGTGAACGTGTCAGTCACTCAGGCGTGTCTGACTCTTTGGGACACTATGGACTGTAGCCCACCAGGCTCCTGCATCCACGGCGATTCACCGGGCAAGGATGCTGGAGTGGGTTGCCATTCCCTTCTCCAGGGGATCTTCCCGACCCAGGAATCGAATCCAGGTCTCCTGTTTTGTAGGCAGATTCTTTACCATCTGAGCTATCAGGGAAGCAGCAGAGCCAGGACTCAGTCCAGTCCAGTGGGAGGCAAACCCTACCTCCCCTGGACCTCTCCCCAGCCCACCGAGCACCCGTCTCTGGAACACCGTGAGCATTGGCTTCTATCACACAGCTTAATCTGTTCAGTGCTCGCCACTGACCAGGCATTCTTTTTCTAAGTGTCTTGCTTGTATTATCTCATTTAACATGTGAAACAACCCCTACGAGGTTAGCTACTATTTTTTTTTTTTTTAAATGTTGAAACACCCGGATCCCATCCAGATACATCTGGGCTTCAACTCTAAGCATTGTGGCCTCAGAGCGCCTGCTGAAACTGACCTTGACTTCCTGGGACATGCAGCCACATCCAGTACCCTTGAGAGTGCAAACCCCTATTCCCCGAGTTGGTTCCTACCCACTGCTCCTGGCAATGTCCATCCGATGGTCTCTGCTCACCACCTGTCCTAGGACTGACCGCGCACTGGCAGGAAAGGAGGCAGGGCTGTGGCGTGTCCACCCCCGTCCAGTTATGGCAGAGCAAATGATGCCAGTTTCTGTCTGCCAGGGGCCTTGAGCAGTAGTCCCCATGTCCGAGGTATACAGGCATTTTCTACAGATTACAAAACCATCCAGGCAAAATGGCTTATCTGAGTCATTCATCCTCCAGTGTTTTCCACAGAACCAGGCATTCTCCAGGAGCTCAGGAAAACCAAGTTTAAAGAAATACCCCTTGCTTTTCACTCAGACAGGTCTTCCTGGTGGCTCAGCTGGTAAAGAATCTGCCTGTAATGCAGGAGACACAGGTTTGATACCTGGCTCAGGAAGATCCCCTTGAGAAGTGAACGGCTACTGACGCCAGGATTCTTTCCTGGGAAATCCCATGGACGGAGAAGCCTGGTGGCTCCGTCAGACACGACCGAGCGACATCTTCACCTAGACTCTCGGTATGAATCGAAATCCGTGTCACCAGTCGCTCGTCCTTGCTTCAGGCAGTGTGGCCTCTCAGAAAGAGGAGCTTTCACCGTCACAGGTCTGGGTGTGAGTTCCAGTCCCAGTAAGTAACCTTGTGACCTTTGGCAAGTTTCCTTCTGGACGAAATGAGACAAAAACCTGCTTTGTAGTGTTCTTATTGGGCTACTAGGATCAATGATGGTAGAGGTCCAGCCCAAAGCAAGGGTTAATCTAAGACTATTCTTTTCCTTCCCCTTCTTATTGAGTTCACCCTTTAGAATGTAACATCATTAAAAAAAAAAAAAAACCAACTTCAAATGTTTCAGTTCCCAAGACAGGTTAGTGTTACAGTCACTCAGTCTGAGTCTGACTCTTCCTGGCCTCATGTACTCTAGCCCGCCAGACTCCTCTGTCCACGGAGTTCTCCAGGCGAGACAGCTGAAGGGGCCAAAAGGGAGCCCTTCAAACGCCTGACATTTCCTCTTGGCTCTGTTGCCCACTGGCTGTGCAGTCTTGGGCAAATCCCCTAACCTCTCTGGGCCTTAGTTTTCTCAGCTGTAAAAATGAAGAGATCTGAGCTAGGTGATCTCTCCAGCACCTCCAGTTCAAGTATTCTCTGATCAGAATTACGTAAGTGTTCCTCTTGAAATACTCGGAAATGAGTTTTCTTGGCCTATATAGTCCAGAGCTCCTTTTTCCCACCCAAACTCGCAACACTAAGCGAATTACCCCAGGGGTGCTGTGGAAAATGGCTCAGGCTGCCTTTCCCTAAATGAGGGGGTCAGGGCACACGTGTGAGCGGTGTGTGGTCAGAGGGGCTGAGGCTGTGGGGCCCGCCAGGCTTCTCAATTCAGCCTCCTGTTTGCGAGTCTCTGGAATTCTCAGCTCTATCTACTTATTTCCTTTGTAAAATGGGGATAGGAGTAAGGAAAGTTTGCAGTAAGCATTTTCGATGGTTTTTACATTACAGAAGCAATGAAAAAATATAGGTACTAGGGAAAAAAATCAGTCATCTGGCATTTTATCTTTCTAATTCAATTACTATTAATAATTAGTTTTTCAGTCTTTCTCTTTTTCCATTTGTATCATTTACTCAGTGGCTATGTAAATCTTGTTTGGGGGAAGCTTTTTGTTTGTTTATCTGTTGTTTGTTGTTTTTGCTTAAACTGTTGTAAAATCTTACAAGTTCCTTCATGATCTTTGTTATTATCCAAATAGTGGTACATGTTTTTTTTTGCCATTCCATTTGTTAGTTGGTTTGTTTTCGGACATTTAAAGGATTTTTTTCTTTTATTATTTATAAATGTAAGGCTGTGTTACATACACATGCACACACACACACACACATATACATGTGTGTCTCTAAGGGAATCAATTCTCAAGAATAAAATTACTACTTCAAAAGATCTCCTCATTTTCATAGTTTTGGTACCTGTTGTCAAACTGCTTTCCCAAAGGGTTGCACTAATATAAAATGCCATCAGCAATTACCCATTTTGCTGCATCTTAACCAGAATTGGTTATTATCATTTAAAATGTTTGGCGATTTAATAGGCAGAGCAGCACCTAATTGTTTTCATTTGCATGTCTTTGAGTGAGGAAGCTAATAATTTTTCCAGACTTTTCAGTTCTTCCCTCTTCATAAGACCAGGAGATTTCTGAGACCCCATTCAACCCTATCCCCTAATGTTTCAAAGCTGGAGCCTCCAAGAAAATGGAAGAACTACCTAAGATTACAGGAATGAGACAGGAGACTATATGGAGGTGTAAATAACAATGTTAAGGGCTTAACAGACAGAAGCAGAGAGGAAAGCTGTAACAGTCATCTAAAGAAAACCTAAGGAGAGATTCTGGCTAAATTTAAAAGGGGTATCCCTTCTTGAGTGCCGAAAAATAGATGTTTTTGAACTGTGGTGTTGGAGAAGACTCTTGAGAGCCCCTTGGACAGCAAGGAGATCCAACCAGTCCATCCTAAAGGAGATCAGTCCTGGGTGTTCATTGGAAGGACTGATGCTAAAGCTGAAACTCCAATACTTTGGCCACCTCATGCAAAGAGTTGACTCATTGGAAAAGACCCTGATGCTGGGAGGGATTGGGGGCAGGAGGAGAAGGGGACAACAGAGGATGAGATGGTTGGATGGCATCACCGACTCAATGGACATGAGTCTGGGTAAACTCCAGGAGTTGGTGATGGACAGGGAGTCCTGGCATGTTGCGATTCATGGGGTCACAAAGAGTCGGACACGACTGAGCGACTGAACTGAACTTAACTGATCCCCTCTTCTGTGGGATTTCAGCAGCTCCATTTATGTGCCATGCGAATAATGTAGATGTTTTCTCTTCTGTGATTAAAAACAGCTAGCTCATTCATGAAATAAAAGCTAACACTGAAGCTCCAATACTTTGATGCAAAGAGCCAACTCATTGGAAAAAACTCTGATGCTGGGAAAGACTGAGGGCAAGAGGAGAAGGGGGCGATAGAGGATGAGAAGGTTGGATGGCATCACCAACTCAATGGACATTAGTTTGAGCAAACACAGGAAGATAGTGAAGGACAGGGAAGGCTGGCATGCTGCAGTCCATGGACTCACAGTTTGACACAATTTAACGACAGAACAACAGTAATACAACAATGTTGTATTATTCACAGGAGAGCCCTATTTTAAGCCTGGTTTGGGGAATTGATACAGAGAACTTCCTTAAAGACAGATATAAGATACCAGGCTTTTTCTGTATTTACTTGGTATGTTCAAGGAATTTGATCACCCTAGTAACAACTGATTTAGTCAAAAAGTTAGTAAAAGCCTTATAACTTTCAAAACACCGGAGGCTTACCAACTGTACCCGAGAGTTTTCAGTTTTCCTTTCATAGACTTACTTCAATTTTTCCCAAGTCTCTTCACCAAATTTCTCTATCACAAGCGACTGCAGACAGGTATTGATGAATCCATACTAGAACACAAAATGAAGGGGAAGTGTGGGTGATGAAGCATGGAACCCCCAGTCAGAGATATCTGAAGGGTCACCTTTAGGAAACACACAATAGCATCCTCTTGGGGAGATGAGTCGGACCTTTCCCGGTTTCTCATGAGTTTGTTGTGCTCATTCCTAGCTTAGGACAAAGTCATTTCCATAGAGAAAACATATGAGCTAAATTTGAATTGGATTAGAACTAGAAGATGTTCATTGTAATCATCTTGGAAATAGGGAATCATTTGGTTAGAACAAAGAGTTCAGAAACATAAAGGTGGCAAGGGAATGTTTAGAAGGATGAAGACAGGATCCCACCTACTGTCACATCAAAAAAGCAGTGAGAAGACAATTTTCTTTATAAAAATGAATCTAGGGCTGTGTGTGCGTGTGGCGTGGATATGTGTTCAGCTGATCAGTCATGTCCGCCTCTTTGCAACCCCATAGACTATAGCCCACTAGGCTCCTCTGTCCATGAGATTTCTCATGCAAGAACACTGGAGTGGGTTACCATTTCTTCCTCCAGGGGATCTTCCTGACCCAGGGATCAAACCCATGTCTCCGGTATTACAGCTGGATTCTTTACCCACTGGGCCATCAAGGAAGACATAAAAAGTGGAGGAAAATAGAGACAGATACTAATAAGACACAGCAAACACTGGAATTAACAAAAAGAATTTTCTACTGGATTTGCTCTTTCATCTGTGAGATTCCTTCTTCCTTCCTCCTTCCTTCTGATTAAAAAAAAAAATTATTTTTTTTAATAAAAGAGAGAACCCATGAATGCCTCTGCTGAATGAAGAGCAGTGCAACCCACACAGGCCACCCCACTGTCCACAACACAGGGCTCCTAATCTGGGGGCTTGTGGATGAATGGAGTCTGCTTAAAAGCATCAGGGGCGCTCAGTTTAAAAAAAAAAAAAAGTATCTTCATAGAGTGAAGAATTCTCCTGTCTCACAAATATCAGCCTCAAGTTGTCTTATAAGATTGGATCTTCATCTATGGGGATTTCTTAAAGGGAACCAGGACACTACCACCAGGAAGGAGAGGGCTCTAAACTCTAGCAGAGGACTTCCCCAGTGGTCCAGTGGTTAAGATGCCAAGCTCCCACTGCCAGGGGCACAGGTTCAATCCCTGGTCAGGGAACTAAGAACCAACAGGCTGCACTATGTGGCCAAAAAGTAAAACAAAAGACAAACAAAAAAAAGCCTAGCAGCTCTTTTCTGGGAACAGAGGGTGCGTCCTGATCAGCCGTGTTTCCAGCTCCCCACCACGATATGGCTTGGTCCCCTTTGCTCATCTTCTCCTCGGTCTGCCTGCCCCACTGTGTGTGACCCATTCACGAGGCCACAGCCTGGCCTGGCCTTCAAAGCACCCTCTAGAACTGTCTTCATTTATGTTCACTATGCCTATTGCTGCGGGCATAGGCTCACCCCAAATACCTCCTGCTCTTCCCCAAAGAGACGACACATCTCCGATCGTCCTGTCCCCCTTTGGTTCGGTCACCTGTGGCAAGCCTCAGCACCATCGCCATCTCGTCTCTGAGACTGTTCTCACTCCCTGCACTGGCCACTGGCTGGCCTTCCCTGGGTCCTAGGCTCATAGCTCAACCCCTGCATCCTTGTCATCATGGGATTGTCTTGTTAAAATACCACATGCACACACCCACATTTCCTGTCTATCAACACATGCACCCATATACACACACAACACATAAAATGTTTGCGTACACACACACACACACACACACACACATACTATTTTTCCCTCTCCTCTACTAAATTACAAGCTCCTTGCAATCAAAAAGTAAATATAATTTATCTACATGGAAGGAGCCAAGATGGCGGAGGAATAGGACGGGGAGACCACTTTCTCTCCTACAAATTCATCGAAAGAACATTTGAATGCTGAGCAAATTGCACAAAACAACTTCTGATCGCTAGCAGAGGACATCAGGCGCCCAGAAAAGCAGCCCATTGTCTTCGAAGGGAGGTAGGACAAAATATAAAAGATAAAAAGGGAGTCAAAAGAGCTACGGACGGAGACCCGTCCCGGGAAGGGAGTCTTAATAGAGGAAGTTTCCAATCAACGGGAAACCCTCGCACTGGCGGGACTGGGGGAAGTTTTCAGCAATCTAACTGGGAGGAAAAATTAAACAAGGCCCACAGATTACGTGCCTAAAAGCAACTCCCAGCAGAAAAGTACCCCAGATGCCCGTACCCGCCAGCAACAAGCGGGGGCGGGACGGAGAGGAGCGGGCGGCATTGCTTAGGGCCCGAACACACTGCTGGCGGTTCGCAAAACAAAGGGACTGAGAAAGTCCAGAGAAGAGCCGGCCCATCCCCGCTGGAGGTTGGAGGCAGGGGGTAGGGGAAAAGGGCAAACTCAGCCCCTGAGAAGCCACCCCCTCCCACACTGCAAACAGGCCCCCGGTTCCTATCCAAAGACTTCCTGAGACCCGACTGGCGGCGCGCGCTGGGGCCGCGGAGGGAAAAAGCGCGCCGTACCCGGGGAGAGTGCGCCCAAGCCTCTAGCTGCCTGGGCCGCTCGACGCGGAGGGAAAAGGAGCACCACCCCCGGGGAGAGTGCGCCCACGCCTCTGGCTACCTGAGCTGCCCGCCGCGGAGGGAAAAGGCGCGCCACATCCGGGGAGAGTGCGCCCAAGCCTCTGGCTGCCTGAGCCACTCACCGCGGAGGGAAAAGGCGCGCCGCACCCGGGGAGAGTGCGCCCAAGCCTCTGGCTGCCTGAGCTGCCCGCCGCGGAGGGAAAAGGCGCGCCACATCCGGGGAGAGTACGCCCAAGCCTCTGGCTGCCTGGGCCGCTCGCCGCGGAGGGAAAAGGCGCGCCACACCCAGGGAGAGTACGCCCAAGCCTCTGGCTGCTTGAACCGCTCAGGCCGGGGAAGGCACAAAACGCAGGCGCAACCGAATCTGCGCTTTTGTGGAGTACCCGAAAACTGGAACCGCACTCAACGCAGGGCCCGCTCCATAAAGAGCAGCCGGGAGCCTGAGCAGTGTAGACGGCGAAAGCACTGACACCCGTGAGCGGGGCAGACCCAGTGTGGCCGGAACACGGCGAGTGCTATCCACACAGAGCGGTATCTGTCTGCAGCGCCCCGCCCTCCCCGTAGCAGGACTGAACTGAGCTAGAGAACCTAAATAAGAGATCACCTCCGCCCGCCTGTGTCAGGGCGGAAATTAGACACCGAAGAGACGGCAAACAGAAGCCAAATAAACAAAGGGAACCGCTTCAGAAAGGACCGGTGCAACAGATTAAAATCCCTGAAGGTAACACCGACTACACCAGAAGGGGCCTACAGATATCGAGAAGTGTAAGCTGGAAAGAGGAGCTATCTGAAATTGAACTGAACCTACGCTGACTGCAACAACTCCAGAGAAATTCCTAGATATATATATATTTTTTTTTTTTTAATTAAAAAAAATTTTTTTTTCTATCCTTTTTTTTTTTTAAATTTTTTCTCTTTTATTTTCTTTTAAAATTCCCTATTACTCCCCCATTACTCCTCAACTTTCATTTTCATATATTTTTACGATTTTTTTAATTAGGGGAAAAAAAATTTTTTTTTTCTTTTTTTTCTTTTTCTTGTTTTTCTCTCCTATTTCCTTTTAAAGTCCTCTAATACTCCTCTATTATTCCTTAATTTTCATTTTCATTTCACTATAACCTTGCCAAAAAAAAAAAGAGAGAGAGAGAAAAACTCTATTTTTAAATCAAACTTCATATACATTTCTAAATTTTTTTGTGTGTTTTTGTTTTTAAATATTGTATTTCAAAGAGTCTAACCTCTACACTAGATTTTTAATCTTTGTTTTTCAGTAGTATGTGATATAAATTTTGGTCATTTAAGAATCCAATATTCAGTTCCCATTTCTATTCAGGAGTGTGGTGATTACTCTCCCACTTTTGACTCTCTGTTTTCTACCTCGGAACACCTCTATTTCCTCCTTTCCCCTTCTCTTCCCAATCCAACTCTGTGAATCTTTGTGGGTGTCTGGGCTACGGAGAACACTTTGGGAACAGATAACTGCGTAGATCTGTCTCCTCTTGAGTCCCCCTTTTCTCCTCCTGATCACCTCTATCTCCTTCCTCCCTCTCCTATTCTTCATGTAACTCTGTGAACCTCTCTGGTTGTCTCTCACGGTGGAGAATCTTTTCACCATTAACCTAGAAGTTTTATTATCAGTGCTGTATAGTTGGAGAAGTCTTGAGACTATTGGAAGAACAAAACTAAAATCCAGAGGCAGGAGACTTAAGCCCAAATCTTGAGAAAACCAGAAAACTCCTGACTACACGGAACATTAAGGAATAAGAGACCATCCAAAAGCTTCCATACCTACACCAAAAACAACCACCACCCAAGAGCCAATAAGCTCCAGTACAAGACATACCACGCAAATTCTTTAGCAACGCAGAAACATAGACCTGAGTGTCAACATACAGGCTCTCCAAAGTCACACCTAACACATAGATCCATCGCAAAACTCATTACTGGACACTCCATTGCACTCCAGAGAGAAGAAATCCAATTCCACGCACCAGAACGCTGACACAAGCTTCCCTAACCAGGAAACCTTGACAAACCAATCGTCCAACCCCACCCACTGGGTGAAACCTCCACAATAAAAAGGAACCTCAGACCACAAGAATACAGAAAGCCCACTCCAGACACAGCAATTTAAACAAGATGAAAAGGCAGAGAAATACCCAACAGCTAAAGGAACATGAAAAAAGCCCACCAAGTCAAACAAAAGAGGAGGAAATAGGGAATCTACCTGAAAAAGAATTTAGAATAATGATAATAAAAATGATCCAAAATCTTGAAAACAAAATGGAGTTACAAATAAATAGCCTGGAGATAAAGATTGAGAAGATGCAAGAAATGTTTAACAAGGACCTAGAAGAAATTAAAAAAAGTCAATTAAAAATTAATAATGAAATAAATGAGATCAAAAACACTCT